GACATTACCAAAAAGCAAAGACATGTCATATGGTATCACGAAAAATCAAACACATTTCATCACCTTTCATCACCAACATCACCAAACGTACTGTAAATACCGAGCAAAAGCTGGGTTGTGTGCTCACGAAAAAGCAAACACATTTCATCACCAACATCACCAAAAAGCAAACACATGTCATCACCAACATCACGAAAACAAACACATTTCATCACCTTTCATCACCAACATCACCAAGTACTGTAAACACCGAGTAAAAAGTCGTGTGCACAAGTACTGTAAATACCGAGGAAAGCGGTCCCCCAACCAATTTCGAGTTTTTTCGGCACGCCGTTTGAGACACCAAAGAAAAAGACGCACGGTCCAGAAGTAGGGGTGGCAACTATATATGAAAGTAGGACATCACGAAAGTACCGTAAACACCGAGTAAAACGGCTCTTGTCGTGATATTGTTGGTTGTGTTTGCGTAACACTGTCGTCATCATCCCCCCACCCCGCGCCCCCGAAGCAAGTCCAAAATCAAGAGGCCGAGTTTGCAAACTCGGCAAGTCGATTTTGAGGCTTCTTATGATGATCGTACATGACGAAAATGCTGTGAATACCGAGTAAAACGGATGTGCTCTTAAGATGGTTTTGAGCAAGTGTGGTTGGTAGTACTACTTCCACACGCAGCAAAGTAGTCCTTGCTTGGCTCCCGTAAGGAGGCAGGGACGGCTCCCCGGCACCTGTGGTGCAGTCCTTCATACGAGGACCCCGACATTGTGTAAAAGCATCCTCCGACCCGAAGGTCCCATAAGCGAGGATGCATGTTACAACTCCAAAAGAACTCGGAACTGATCAAACTAAGCTACGCTGTCAACATTCGCGACCTGGTATGCAGGCAGGGCCAAACTAGACAATAGGCAGATCAACTGCGACATAACAGGAAGGCAGTGCTGTCTATCGTCCTCAACAGAAAATGTACAGGCCAATTTGTACAGTTAAGTATGATACAAGTATTTACATTGTCGCGGCACAGCTTGACTGGTTGACTGCGAGCTACTGTTATCCCGCTACTTCGGGCATCTCCTGGCAGCGCACATATAAGAAAGCATAGCAATTGGATTGATGATACGGGGTGGTCGACAGCTGGATGCGTTGGGCCGGTCGGGAGTCATCCGTAATGAAGTCTCCCAGGGACGCATCATGAAGCACTGCTTTGTAATGCCCGGAGGAAGGCAGCTCCCCCTGATGCAAAAATGTTGCAGCCCGGCAGTATGTCATATACTGCAGCTCCAGCGGATGTTCGTGATTCAGATGATTTTCGAACCGCGGGAGGACTATGTAGGGGTCTGGTACAACCTGGACCGTAACCTTAGTGCAGGATGCTAAGGTATGATGGAACCGGTTAATCTGAATCAGGACCACAGGGGGCTCAGAGGTCAGCCCATGCAGACCGACCTGCGTCAACGACCACTGGTCAATCAGATGTTGCAAAGGCAATGGCTGTGGGTGGTACTGAGCCTGCGTCGTCAGCGAGGCCGGCAAGTAAAGAGGCCAGGTGTGGCCTTCGTCAAGGCTTTGCGGCACCCCATCGTTATTCTGCCTAGCTGCCCAAGAACCAAACCTAATCCGATGATGCAAATGGGGCCTAAAGTAAGTGAGGTACTCGACTATGTCATGTTGGGACCAAGCACTGTGCAAAGTACGCCAACTGATATGCATCCATAGATTGACAGGCTTGGACTGAGTGCAGAGCCACCTGATCACGCGCAGCATAGCAGGCTGCAGCAAATCAACGGCGCCGGGCAGACCTAAAGTGTGCAACCAGCAGAAAGCCAAAGCTGACGCGTTACTATAGCAAAAGTTGCTAGTGTTTAGGAGTTGTAGGTTCCTGACAGTTCTTCGACCATCTTCTGAATGGCCACGGCCAGGGCCGATCGTCCCATGCGGTCCCCCCGAAGGGAGGTGGCCACCACCCTGGTCGCCCCACTGTGGCTTAGCCGATAAAAGGCATTCCATAGTTGGTGGCACTCCGCCGTTCGGCTTCCGATTTGCAGCATCAACGGCACCACATCCGACTGCATGTTCTGCACCAATTCGCGAGTGGTGTGAAAACGGAGGATGGCCAAGGGCTGCAAGACCAAGACCTGCATCTGTTTCAAGAGCTCGAGGACCTGGGTGAGGGTCATGGGGTCCCTGTCCCATTTCACCCGCAGCTGGCGTGCTGAGGCATCCCATTCCAGGTGGTAGTACTACTACTACTACTACTACTACTACTACTACTACTGCTACTGCTACTGCTACTGCTACTGCTACTGCTACTGCTACTGCTACTGCTACTGCTACTGCTACTGCTAAAGCTACACTACTACTACTACTACTACTACTACTACTACTACTACTACTGCTACTACTACTACTTCTTCTTCTTCTTCTACTTCTACTTCTACTTCTACTTCTACTTCTACTTCTACTACTGCTACTGCTACTGCTACTGCTACTGCTACTGCTACTACTACTACTACTACTACTACTACTACTACTACTACTCCTCCTACCCTCACTACCACCACTACCACCACCTCCACCTACACTACTGGTACTTAACATCACGCACAGGTCTTTTGCATTGAGTCCTCATGAGACGCTCGGACTCCCAAAGCCGGCAACTCTTCCGGTATGCCCGGCTCAGGAAGATAACGTGGAGCGGTGGCTTTGCCCCATCCTGTGGTTTAGGGTTTTTTGGCGTCGCTTCCGGGCTGTCTAGGTTTGGGGGTTTATGGTTTGGAGCTCTCAGGGTTCAGGGACTGGGGATAAGGAGTTTGTGGTCTCATGCTTGAAAATTTGCATGGTTTTGGATACGCTGAGCCCTGCTTCGTCCCTGCCTCCTCGGACAGTGAAAGGCGGATCCAAACGTAAGACACCGCCAGGAAGGCCGAGACCATCAGGATGCGGACGACGTGGCGGTGGGATTCCTCATTTACGAAGGGGCAGTCGTAGGTCTTCTCCAGCCCAGTGATTTCAGGTTTGAACTGAAAGCCTCGGTAGATTCACCCACGAGCATGGAACGAGGATGGCGCATGCTCTTGGTCAAGCACTTCTTGCTTTGGCCCATGGCATTCTTCCAAGACTGGGGCAGGTGCAGTAAAGATACTTGCCAAAGTAGCTGAAGATCACAGGCCAGAAACAGTTGAGGCCTGACATGTCCGGCAGCTCTAAAATCATGAACAAACTTAAAGCAAGCACGAGCAAGCATCATGTGGTGGCTCGACTGCCAGCCAAAGCTAGCTGCAAGACAACGCCAGCCCAAGCCTACGACCAGCACAACTCCATGCTGTGCTTTGGGGCGGAACGCAACAAGGACGAGGACCATGGCAGCCGGGATGGCCTCAGCAGGGTTTTCGGTTTAGGGCTGAATTCATTGAGATTCAACTTTGCCGGGCAGCAGTGTGGAGCAAGTGGGCTGGCCAGAGCTTTCCGTGGAGGCCCGCAAAGGACAGCAAGCAAGCGGACGAGCTCCCTACGCCGCCGGAGCCTGTGCAGAAGGTCATCAGGAGGCAAGTGCAACACGTTCCGCTGGCTCCCTTTCACCGTGGCTGACCCGTGGCAGGCTGGATTGTGTGTTGCCGAAGCCTCTGCTTGTCTCTTGACTTTCTGTATTGTAGGCTGTTGTACTAGCACACATAAACACATGTCGATGTGGCATGGAGCCTTCGACTTGCATGCTTTCGAGATCTGTCGGGTCTATCCCCGGATCGAAGTCCACCAACCGCATGTTGCAAGGGGCCTGTCCCTGAAACGAAGTCTGTTGCGATGCCAGCTGCATCGATCACAGCCTGTGTAAGGCTTGCCTGGGACCACAGCAGGTTCAAGGTTGGAATATGCCAACACGAAAGGCTGTCTTCAACGGCAGCCTTTCTCATTAGTCTGTTCAGGCTGTTTGGGACAGATGCTTGAAGAAGTGATGAAGTGTCCCTGCATGACACATGGTCCTGACGGTGCATTCATGCTTGCCAGCAAGTGCGTCCGAGCGGCTGCCTTCAGCTTGGCATCCCGAATCGCACTGCTCTGGGCGGCTACAGTCAATAGGGTGCCAGCAACCGTGGCGAAGGACATCAGCTGGTTGAGAAGCACACCGCTCCGCTTGGGTTCCTGTCATGCACACCGAACTGGAACTCCAGGTTTTGTTTGGGACATAACAGGAACCCAATCCAACGAAGCCTCGGCGCCCTCGACTTGCAGCGCGCTTTGAGATGCTGCTGCGAAAGGGACCACATGCTTTACAAGCATGAACGCCCATTGCAACAGCAGTCGCCACCAAACCCTGGTACAGTATTCACATTGCAGAACACTCGTGTCGGAGATGGCGTAGCCCGCTTTACAGTATGCACATGCCCGGCCCTCATAACCTTCAGCGCACATCCTTGAGAAGTCCGTGGAGACTCCACCCGGACACGCGGCTGGGTTGGGACAGAAGATGGTCGAACTGATGTTCGCTTGCTTGACCATGTGCCCTGCTGTCATCTTGAACTTTGTCGTGTAGCAAAACTCAGTGTGTGTCGGGCAAGGCACGCAGTTTGAACCACTTGCTGACTCCAGGTTGGTATAGTCATCTTTGCAAGCCTGCCACCCCGTTTGCCGGACAAGACCGGAAAGCAAGTCAGTACCAACACTTTTGTGCAATGCAATGCCTGCAGTCAAGTAGCTGTGCAGCTTTTGAGTCCGTTCCCTTCCTCGACTCCAGTTCCCGGTGGACACGCGAGGTCTGCGAGCAGGTACTTTGGCGCCGCCAGGCTGCACGACTTGAGGCGCGTGCAGTTCACGACCCCCTTACTGCAACTTCCCTACAGAGGCCGGAAGCGGAAAACTGTCGCACGACACTTCTTGCTGGCACGCTGCGGCAGCAAGGCTCCTGGCTTTTATGCCAACACTGAACGTCTGGTTCATGCCAGGCAGATGGATGTCGTTGAGCACAAGTGTGCCTCATGGTCGGCTTGCACTAGCAACCGTCCTTGCGAGCATCTGTCTGACCCAAAACCATACCTCCTCAACCTCATTTCAGTTCGACAGGGCCCGCAACCTTCTGAAATAAAGTCGAAGTCTTCACTGTGGGGCTCGAAGATTGTGAGGTTGGAGACATTCAAAAGATCCGATTCGGCATAGATGGTGCCAGCATTGCCATCTGTCGTGCAGCGGTGGAAGGACACGTCCCCGAGCTTCCCTGAAGCTGTTACAGAACTTGACATCTTCTGAAAATAAAGTGAGCGCGAGCACTTGCGTTGATGTATCAACAATGACTCCTTGCCTGTGCAGGCGATAAACCGGCCCTGACCGATTTGACATGATTGAACTCAAGCAACTTTTCCCAAGCACTGCATCAACCCTCTATGGTCGGCCATGTCTCCAGGCCGCGCAGATCCAAGGTAGAATCCGCCGCCACGTTTCCCGGCTGTGCAGTTCTGGAAAGTTAAGCGGCCGGTGTCTTGCTGGATGGAACCATTGCCCGTGCTGATGTATAGGCCTCCTCCACCTGTCCATGCAGCACTGCTTCGAAAACATGGGCCTAACAGCCTCTAACATGTCTTCATATGTCGCCCCCATGCACCTTGAAAGGCGCTACAGCTGGAAAAGCCCAGAATCCCCTTGGAGACAATGCTGCAGGTAGCCATCCCACCACCATTGCCACCAAAAGCATGACAGCCATCGAACGTCAATGTGCCGGTCTCTCGCTGCCACACACCTGGACTCATGTCAGGGTATCCCGTAACTTTCGGTGCCTCCTGAGCAAGCCTAGCGCCTGTTTCGGACAAGATCGCCTCCTCTTGTCATCAAAAGGCCGCCACCCGACCCCAAAGAACTACAATCTGCCATTGACAGGTTTCCGGCCAAACGCAGCTCGCCATGGTTGACGTACATGCATCCGCCGCCTTCAGTCATTGAACCAAGTCCAGGTCAACTAACCACTGTAGCAATGTAAATGCCAAGCGAGGTCAGAAAACACGAAAGGAGCTTTGGGCAATCCCAGCATTGCTGCGTGCTCCGTGTAACGAGCTTGAACCAACTAAAGGTGAGGTGCACTTCATCCCTCAAGAATCCTCTTGACGTTTCGACCGTGAACTCAACACGAGGTGTTTGGCAATCTGCACTCGTCGTGCATCTGTGATCCCGTGCAAGAGCTCCAGCCTCCAAACTTCCGGCCCGTCTTAGACGTGTTTCCATGCGAATGCAAGGAATTACCGAACCAACATGTTTCCGAGACTGTTCGTGTACGGATCACACATAGAAACATGCATCACTTTGTCAGCTGGCTGCTTCGAAGACAAACGTCCAAACTAAAGCATGTCGCTGAAACACACGTGTCATCCCCCTTTGCAACCTCTCATCTCCAAACCTCGAACGATCACAGTTCAATCCGTGCTCCTTGCGAACAGGCTATATGCCCTGACCCACACTTGCATCAAAGGCTTGACAGGCAAGAGGCAAGCAACCCAACGATATCAAGGTGGGGTTTACAGTTTAAAGTTTAAAACTCAAACCAACTGTTATGCCAACTAGGAGCCGCCCTCGCCAGATCTGCAGCCCTCGAAGCCCAGGCTCCCGCTGAACTGGTGCAGAGATCCCTGGAGCAGCGCTAGCCCCCCTCCTTTGTCACCAGGTGCGTTGCAGCTGGAGAATGTGACGCTGCTTCGCTTTGTAAGTACCCGTGCCTTGTCGATGTGCTTTGCAGTTGCTAAAATTCACGGCCCCGGCCATCAGCACATCCTTGCCTTTGTGGCTTGGGGCTTAGGGTGTGGGGTTTAGGGCAGTTTAGTTGCTGAGTTGGGGAGGTAATGGATCCCTGCTACCCTCCCGAAAAGCTCATGTTAGCTAACTAGTCCTTCCGCAACCAAGCCTAAGCAGCCAGAGCCATCTTCAAGCAAGGGGCGAACGAAAAGTCCTCCGCCCTCACCAGAGCCACAGCCCTCGAAGCCCAGGCTACCGGTGAACTGGTGCAGAGATCCCTGGAGCAGCGCTAGCCCCCCTCCTTTGCCACCAGGTGCTTCGCAGCTGGAGAACCTGATGTGACCACCGTGCTGGAAGAGGCTTCCAAGCTGAAGGCCCATACCTCTCAAAAGCAAGGGATTCGAAGATGTCAACCTCTGCAAGACTGGCTGCACGAAACTAGCTTCGACACTGCAGGCCTCCACCACTCGCACCACGGCTTGCTGTGCAACTTTTAAAGCGCATCGTTGCATGGGCCTGTGTGTGAACATGGCCTTCTTTTACATATGCACCGCCAGCACCTTGCGCCCAGCATTGCAAAAAAAACATGTCCCCAGACGCAGCTGTGAGGTTCCCATCAAGGACTTGCAGTCCGCCGCCACAGCCCTTGGCAGCCATGCAGCTTACGAACCGGATGGCTCCTCCATTCTGGAAGAAGTCGCCATGAACAAGCAATCCACCTCCACCTCCAGGCACTATAGTTGTGAGAGCAGCACTGGACACCTACTGTATGCATTCTCAAGACACTAATGTGCGCTTTCGGTCGGATCGTAGGCCTGGTATGTCTGGTACAAGGCTTCCTCTGGTTTCTCCAGCAGCTTTGCACGACTGGAACGAAGTGGAGCCCTCAACGTGGACGGACTGCTTTACGCCAAGGCAACCACCCCCGAGCTGGGCGCGGCAAACAGAAAAATGAGCCACGCCACGGGACTCCTGCGTAAAGTTGCCGCCAATGTGCAAACAGCCTCCATCCGTTTTGCTGTAGCAGTTTGCAACCGAAAGCTTGCCCCCGTGCTGAACGACGTTAAACTCCACGGCTCCTCCCCCACCTGCAGGGCTCTAGGGCTGATCTTGACAAGATCAATCCCACGGCGCAAACCCCTCTACCGACGACTGCTGCGGACCAATGTCAAGCTGTAAATGATTCACTGACCGCAACTGCATTTCGGTTCACGAGCCTGCGCTGCCTGCTTTGCACGATTCGATGTCCAGGGTCCCAGCCTTCTGTATTAATGAGCCTTTTTCGATACACAGGCCGCCACCCTGGCCGTCGTCTGCCTCACAACGGTCGAAGCCGGTATGCCCACCATCTTGCCGGAAGTCCCCTCGCAGGTACAGACCTGCACGGACAAAGCATGCGCTTGCTTGCAGTTACTGTTTCCCGAAACTGTGTGCCTCCTCCGCTGCCGATATTTGTCCGACAGAATGCGAACGTCACCGAGCCGCCTGTCTGACGAAACGCTTCGAGGTACAGGCCACCGCCGCTCCATGCTGCCCGGCAGCTGTCGAAGGTGATGCGCGCACCGCTCTCCGCACTTCGGGCCGACACGGCACCACCATCTCGAGCAGCTTCACAGCCTGTAAACATGGCAGAGCCCTGAAACTCCACATGGCCCATGGTGTGAACGCAGCCACCGTCATGGCCTCGGAACTCGGTCCAAGATGGAAAACCAAAGTATGTTCTGACAGCCTGACCGCCCACAACCTAATCTTAGCACTGCCTCTTGCATTCCGGAGAACCGGTGGAGCTGCAGTCCTGAAAGGTGCTGTTGCCACCCAAGTAGACACCCTTCTCGATGCTCAAAGCGCCTCCGTTACCGGATGCGTTGCAAGCTTTGAAGTTGGCGGAGCCGCCCTTGGACTGGACGAACTTGTCGACAACGTGCATACAACCACCTCCACGTTGACTATTGCAGGCTTGGCAGGAAAGAGATCCTCCCTCTTGCACGAAGCTGCCCGTCGCCTCCACCCCGCCACCTGAAGGAATCGGATTCACCAAAACAGGCCTCTGTGCAAAACGCCTGTAAGTAACAACCGGGCATTTTGCACACTGTTTAATAACTTACAGCAGCAAGGCAACAATCTGGCAAGAACTATGACGCGGGAGTTCCCAATGTACGGAACACGGCGGTTGCAAGCGTATTCACTCTCAATCATGGAAGCACTGTCCCTGGAACGCAGCATTCCTGCACTGACATTGCCGCAGATGGCCTCTGCTACCTGCCGTGCACGATGCGAACGTCATGCTGCCTCTCCTTTGAAAGATGGTGCCCCGCACCCAGGCAGCACCACCTTCCACTGCAGCACTCTGCTGCGACGCAGAGAAGAAGGCTAAAGCACCAGCATCAACTTGAATCGCTTCCTAGGCTGCTGGCCGCACCTGGCCCTTCCTGAGCATGGCAGCGGCTGAAAATGATCCGGCCAAATGAAGTCAAATTCCCCGCAGCGATGTGCAGTGCACCACCTCCAAAGCACACACAAACTTGATCCCCCGACGGTTTTCAAAATCGGTTTGCTGTCCATGCCTGCATCAGCCGTGCAGTCCTCCGCTTCGATGGAGCCATTCGTCTGCAAGCTGTAGTTGACCCCATTCAGTGCCAGGCATCCACCACGCTTTGCGGAACACTTGTGGCAGCTGATCTGTCCATCTGCCTGGACGAGACTGCCGTTGTTGATCAAGAGGCCTCCCCCAAATTCTTCTGAATTGGAGGTGTTCATCTTGATGCTGCCACCCATTTGGTGGAGACTGCCGTTGTTGACATAGATCCCTCCACCACCTGGCATCAGATAGGGCACAAATGCAAGTTTCACACCTGGCGACTCCACGACAGCCTGCCTTTGAGGCTACTGCTCTGCACAATCTCCAAAGCACCAGAGACGACAGTGAGGCCCTGCGCGATATGGAGCGCTCCACCAGCAGACGTGTTGTCCTGCACTTGGGGTACGTAGCAAGATATGTCCATGACGGAAGGAAAAGGTCTCTCATGTTTACAAACGATTACAGGAACTGCGCCACCTTGTTCTGGCACCTTCTGAAAAGGATGCTGGTTTCATTGGAAGTGCCGCCAATTGTGAGTGGACCATTCACAGTCACGCAAGCTTGTTCCATCGGTGACAGTCCAATGAAGGAGATCAGCCCGAGGAGCTCAACAGCTCCTGTCACAGGTGATGCAAGCAAAGCATTTGCGACTGTTGACACAAATGGATTTCTTCTACACTCAGCGCGGCCGCTCCTTCAAAGACCAGGGAGTCTTTGAGAAGGACTGTAGCACCTGTGCCCCTAACTTTGCAGTTTCCATCAAGGCTCGGCAGCCAGTCGACCAGAAACGTTCCTGTCAAGTCCAGCTCTCCATCTGGGCAATCTGTCGGAAAATCCTGGACTGTGATGTCGCCCAAGACCTCAAAGACATCCCCTGGCAAGACGAGACAGCTTGAGAGGCTTGCAAATCACGGCACCAGGCGGCTGCATACCTAACATTTAGAAGCCTACTTTGGACAGCCTTGGGCTGCGGTGCAGGCTTTGATGTCGCACAGGCCGTCGATTTCAAGGTCTTTGCCGACAAACGCAGCACCTGGCAGAAAGGCTTGAGGTTGCCCGGACAGAACTCACGCGGTCATCCTGTGACTCGTGAACGTGCCCCGGGAGCATGTTCGTGCCCCGGCCTCCTCTCAGAGCCGCAGTGCAAGACTCAAAGTTTATCCGGCCAGCGTTCTTAAGGAAGTCAGTCTTGACGTCAGCTGCACCACCTGCCAGCCAAGAACACAGAACACAGAGAGAGAGAGAGAGACGGAGGGGTGGCCCAGACCTGAATCCTCTGCATGGCAATCCTTGAACTCCATGGTGCCAGAAGCTTCGAGTCGGCCAACAGCCACTGCACCTGGCCAGAGGAAACAGGTCGCCACAAGCTGACAACACTTTGCAAAATACTCTCTTGTGGCTAAACGGAGACCTCCCCGGCGCGCGATGCATGAAGTGAAAATCATGTCTCCAGCGTGTTGAACCAAGTCGTTTTGGAGTTTGATTGCACCGCCTTAAGACGCGAATGTGTCTTCAACGCACGTGCCCTCGTCACAAATGCAACAGACCACCACGTCATTGAGGTCCGAGCCATCGCCTTCAGCGCGGCACCGGTTGAACTCCATCGTGCCCGTTGTGTACATCGTCTTGCCAAGATCCAGCGCACCTTCAGCGCATGTTCAGGTCAAGTACATGGGGCCAGTGCGCAACGAAACGGGACCGGGCCTCCGTCCTCAGCGGCAGTGCATGATCGAAACGTCATCGTGCCGCCATGTTGGATGAAGTCGGCCTCAACCTGAAGCCCACCGCCGCTGCCTTCCAGGCCCAAGAGCAAGGGAGGAGAGACTCCAAGCACGAGCCCCCGGCCTGATTTGGCTCTGCACCCTTCGAGCTCCATGAAGCCCTGCGACACCAACGATCCCCCGACGAAGACGGCACCTCCTGCTGGCAAGACAGATTCCAGTTCATGACACCGTTTGATCATTCCGCCCAAAGCCGGTCAACGGCCCCTAAACCCTAAACCCTAAACCCTAAACCCTAAACCCTAAACCCTAAACCCTGGCCTGAGGCTGCTGAACACGAGTCTGCGTGGAGGGAACCGCTGGTTGTTGCATTGCCACGGATGGCCAGGCATCCCCCTTTCTGAGCGGCCGTGCACCCGACGCAGCTGATGTTGCCAACATCCTGCCGCAAATCACCTCCCGTGTTCACAAGGATGCCTCCACCGGAGCCATCCGATCCACATTCCTGGAGCAGGATCTCGCCACCCCTTTGATGGAGCCCTTTGCTGTCAATATAGAGGCCTCCACCACCTGGCGCAAGGATGCACAAGGTTGCAGGGAAAGTTCAACGGCCCTGCTCGATGGACCCGCCTGCCGAGCTGCTGCTGTCACGGATCGTCAGAAAGCCAGATCGCATGGTCAAGCCCCCGAACACAATGCGGAGTGCACCGCCGAAAGTCTCCTACGAAAACGAAGACTTAACGAAGAGCCCAAATTGGAAGAAGCTGAGACTACGAAAAGCTTTCAACTCGTGTTTCCCTCACAGGGAAGCCTCGTTGTGGCAGCCAATGAAATTGATGTTGGTATCCGGTTCACTTTCAGGTTCACCACCAATGACGAGGTGGCCATGCACAGTAATACAGCCTTCCTTCAAGGACCTCTTCCCCACGAAGCGCATAGCACCGAGCCACGAAATTGCTTCCTGTCCCGAACCTGTCAATCAAGAATCTCTGAAGCTCTCACGGAAGAACTTTTGTCGATTATCTTCACACGACAAGGAGGGGTACAAGCCGCCAGCAGCCTTCTGAAAAGGTGAGATGTGCGCCCAACAGGATGGTTGCACCACTTCCGTGCAGGTTGCACCCTCGGATCGTTGTGTCTTCCTTGACTTCATAGTCATACACTCCTTGGAGGTCAATCACGCCACCTCCGCAGCTCTTGGGAAAGGCCCGTAGCGGTTTGCTCATCTTTGGCCGGTATACCTTGGAAGCCATGCACAGGACAGGCTCAGTTAGCTGGAGTAGTGCACATTGACATGGTTTGAGCATCATGTCTAAAATGCAGGTCCGGCTGCCTCCGGCTCCAGGGCGAAGTTCGCGCGGGGACGTGAGCCGGCAGTTAGCACCGTCAGACACAGGAAAAGCAATGCCTTGGACATTACGTCCGCGAATTCACGGAAACTGGATTTAAATCAAACCATCGCTTGCCCATGTGGCGAGAACTGTGTTGAGCCTTTACCCGCGGCCATGCACTCTGAACAAAGCCCGAAATCCTTCATGTAGGGGCCCCACTGCTGTGAATGTGAAGTCCTGCAAGAGTGTTAGGAAACCAAAGGCGTTGACTCAGAACTCTGCACTTTCAAGTCCTCCTTTGAACTGGAGTTTCGTCCAAAACCTGTCATTGTCAGCTAGACATCGGAATCCGGAAGCCCCACATCCCAACACCTTACTAACTACTACTTGCAGCACGAGGCCTGCCTCCAACGGAGGCTAGGATGCGAGACCGAGAGTAGCGGTACATCGGCGCTCGGATGGCAAATGGATCCAGTACGTGCAGTCACAGCCCTGTAAACAAAGGAATACAAAGCGCTACAAGTACAAGGTTTTACGAGTACGGCGTAGAGAAATACATGCACCGAAAGAGTCTTGCAGGAAGTCTCTCTATGAAAGAACATCGCAGAAACGAACAAAGATGAATGTGGGCTTGCAATTCTCGCGTGACGTGCCCCCACTTAAGGCCTCAACCCACTACGCCCTAAACATCCTAAAGCCTCAAACCTCCTTTGTGATGATGCTCCTATTTACACCGCGGAAAAAGTTGGAGCGATTTTGCACGGTCACAAGGCATGCGCAGACTTCGACGGTCTGGAACTGGTAGCTTCGGAAAGCCAGGGACCCCCCTTATTGTAAAGGAACTGTAAACCGTAAGATCGTGCCTATAAGCCCAAATAATGGGGTTTAGGGCTTTAGGGGTTTAGGGCTTAAGAACCTTATTGAGATCGTCATCACAACGGCCACTCTAAAGAAGGTACCCGGCTCTTTCTTTGACTCCCAACTCTGTGGAGAGGTCTTCCCCTTTTGGAGAAGCCGATGCTCAGCGACAAACCGAGCTGGGTCCCATCTTCTTCTGCTCACATCCTAGGGTTTAGGATTTAGGCATAACGGTATTTAGGGGCACCCTCGAAAAACCCGAAGTATGCGGGCAGAAGGCGTTCCCTCACTTCAGGACCGTCGGGCCAGGTAGGTCCCCCAGAGCCAAGGAGCTTCCACCTGGCAGGAACTTCATGGTCGGCTTATATGGATAAGGCATCTCTAGGGGTTAGTAAAATTCCTTTATGGATTCCTTTAAGAGGGTCAGATTCCTTTAAGAGGGTCAGCTCACATGGAAAAGGGATGGCTACGAAATTAAGGTAGGGATTGTTTGAATCAAAATGGGGTTCCTTCAAGGGTTCCTGCGAAGGTATGCTATGAGGGTTCTACAACAGGGGGGGGGCAGATAATCAGAATAGTGTTTGGGGGTATACAGTATTTTCTATACTATACATGTCCAGGAACTACCAGATACTACCAGGAGATATCGTCCATATTGGATAGATTTCTGATACGGTCGCTGGGTTCCTCTCCTGCTTCGTTTATTCTTGCCTCGACTTGCGGGATCGGCGAAAAGGTTTCACGGTTTCCCTGGCTCCCCGAGAACCCGAAACCCAGACACCCGAACGATCATCCTGAAACTAGACCCTCAAACCCCCGGTTTAGGGTTTAGGGTTCAGGGTTGAGGCCTCAGGCAGGGGATGATTGCTGTCTGGGGCTTCCTGCTTGGCATCTTTTTTGGAGGTCGAGGGCCTTACGAGGTTTCGGTCTTAAGATTTTAAGCTTTAAGATATAGGCTTTGAATGGGGATTCAGGATAATTTAGGTCTCCATCGCAGTTTGAGGTTGATTGGGTCCATAGGACCCTCAACCCATACCCTCAAAACCTCCACAAGGGTCTCTGTCCTTTGCATTGCTGCAAGGTACAAGGTTGCCTACAGTGCTATCTATCGGATCCTATACTTCAGCCTGCCTCCTGCCTGCGATGGCCTGTCCTGTAAGGATGGTTTGCGATGGCATGCATGGTTGAGGGTTTGGCTTGGCTCTAGGGCCGGCTTTTCCAATCCAGCTTTAGGATACGTCAACCCTCAACCCTAAATCATGGCAGGGAACGGCTGGCTGATCCTTTGCACGCGGCACGCTGCGGTTGGCCCGCCGATTGCGCCTCTCTCGGAACAGCTCCTGGAACATTCACAGCAGCAGACCCTAGCCTCCTGCAACCCGGGGCCAAGAACAAGAACCAGAATCCTGAGCATCCTAACCGCTAAACCCCAAACCCCCTAAACCCTAACCCAAGTACTGCACTGAGACGTTTCGCTCATC